TTTAACATAGCTTCCACTGTGAAGAAATCCCCCCCTGGACCCCGGGGACCCCCTTCACATGGTGGCTTTTCATCAGTAAAGGCTCCCTGGTCTCACTAAAGGAGGGAGGCAGAAATAAAGAAGGCGAGCTTGAGAGTGGATCAGGTGAATTTGAGAGCGGAGTGCAACGCTGTGAACGTCGGACAGTTTTCACTTTGTTGCATCAGTAAAAACAGAGCAGGAGGAGTGGGGGGGTGAACACACTGCAGTCCTTCAGCTTAGACTCAGACACACAAACAAAAAAAAGACATGCAGATGATAAAGTCTGAAAATGTCTCAGGAACCAAATAAATCTAACAGTTTGGAAATAAAGACTCCAGCTTCCTCACAGGATAGCTGAGCTGTGTCAGTGCTCTGTGTTAATAAAGCTTTATAAATGTGTATTGAGTTAAACTCACACAGGGATCTGGGAAATGCTTAGTGATTAGCCTTAATTATTCAGCTGTAGCAGTAAGCTCAGTCAGATACTTTCACAGTGTTATTAATTACAGTGTTTTGGCTCTGTTTTAAGATGACATCTGTATTCCTACATAAACAGAAGCAGACGAACAATGCATTTCTCTGGGCCGCGATGTACAAAAAACAAAAAACAAAAGGTGGGGAATACAGCTGCTTTAAGAATCTGGATCTTGTTGATTTTTATCAGTTAAACACAAAGGTTTCATCCGAAGTCATTCATTCTCACAGCTCCCTGTACAGACTGATCAGGACTACAGAACTACTTTATAATATACTGTCAAATAATATTTGAATTTTGTAATAATATTCACTTTGCTGCTGCTTGTGTTGTTGTGCACTGCTCTCCGTCCTCTCTTCAGTGCAAAGCATGATGGGATGCAGTCTGGGTGGTGGTCACAAGTTGCACGTTTCTTTTTAATGAGGCAATTTAAAATACTGTGAGTGCACTGTACCAGTGACTACAGAGATTATAATAATACTGTCTTTATAGTCAAACAGCACAACAGCACTGAGCAGAGAGTGATTTTTAACTGTGTTAAACCCGTGATGCTACTTTTTACGCTGCCATGTTTCAACCAAGTGGATAAACTAAAGGGGAGCACAAAAGATTTACTGATTCTGTGAACTTGTGATTCATATTTTGGGTGTAAAAAAAGACCTGGCACACACTGAGGAATTCATTTCTGATTGTTTTTCTGACTATTTGTAGCTGCTCTGCCAGTGATAAATTCCTGCTCTTGGTCCTTGAGACTGCTCTTTCTCCACCAGAGGTTAACAAACTAATCTGTCCTGTCCTCAAACAGGCTAAACTTTATTAATATAGTAAATCATTTCCAGCCTTACTGTGCTCACACACATTCATACATGCTTTTGAACTACTATACAGAGCTTTCCTCTCACACACACTCACATGTGTTACTTTAAGTCTGTATTGTGTGTTTAACCTCTTCATTTTTCTCTGATATTCCAGATTTATCTTCTTCGTCACAGGACTTTGGATGTTGCTATAATCACCCCACACAAAATAGGTGGTACTCAATTGTAAGGCAAAATGAACAAAACGGAGTAGAGTTGGGTCAAGTTGGAACTGGTCAAAAGAAGCATTAGTGAGTTGATAACAAGCTTCATGTGACCGCTTATCATGATTTGTGATGTTAGTGTCAGTGAATCCAGCAACAGAAAGATACTCT